CGTTGAAATTACTGACTTAACTGATTGGTAGTCCCTCGCGTGTCATTGTCTAGGATAAATAATGCATTCATTCAACTTCACGATGGAATCAATAAACTTCTCGATTATACAAGTCGATTTAAATGCATGGTGTATCCTTAAGGGATTCCCAAAGCCGACTTTCCATTAACCTCGAAATTGATCGCAATAATTCACTGCTTTTCTTCAATGAGCAAACAAGAGATTGGTATTATAAAATTTACTAGCACACAATAGCCGAAATCTCGGAGGTTTGACATTCTTTAAAGGTTGGAAAGGTCAAACTGACATCTAACCTACTCAGCCGAACAGTTTTTGTTTAGCATGGAACTATGTGCCCTTTATCCCTTTGGTAAACCTGTAATTTACGATCACTTGAGGCCGACGTTCACGCAAATATTGAACGCTTTTCTGTAAGGCCTGCAGCGGTTTCGAGTCAATCAAGTCAAGTTTGCTCAAGTCATGAGTTGCTGGCATTAGAGTTGGATGAATACATGCCTCGAAAAGAGTTGTCTAAATCTTGAAAAGCGGATGTCAAAGCATTTCTAATTCGAATGACTTTAGTTGCTCACAAATCGTTCCAGCCTTACGTGACTGTGGGTTGTTGTGAACAAAACAAAAGAGCTGGTCTCGACGTTCTTCACCAGCACAACGACCTATAGGCAGCGAACACGATGTAACGTTCTGCTCTAAAAGAACGAGGAGAACCGGAACCCGAATGAATCGCTCACGGTCCCTTCGCTCAATGTAGAGTTTCGTTTGACAACAACGACAAGAGTGCTGCTGCTAAACAGCTACTCGCAGTAGATTACCACTTGAAATAAAAATCTGTTCACTTGTATTTTGGCTGCTTCTCACTGAAATCCTAAGGCGAAAAAGTTTTTCCAAAGTGGCACCGCAACATCTCACCAATGCAATTTTCTGCTCATCGAGTGGCAATCGGGAACAAATTTCATATGGTGTTTGTGATTTTATGGAAATAAGCAGAGAGATATGTGCTAAACACAAATGGTTGTTGCAATAGGCACATCCACTACCACTACGACGGCTGCTTACTATTACGTCCAGTATGAGTGGCAAACTTTTCCGAAAAGCAGCACTTTTGTATTTTTTAGTAGGTAGAAAATGGCTTAACACATGTAGTAGAGAAGCTATCGATATAATGCAAAATGAACAGAGTAAAGTGGTTGTGTAAAAAGCGGTGAAGAAACGATGAAGTGATACATGACTCATGCCAGCCAGCCTACATATACCATACGTGAATGATGTCGACACCAACATTTGGAAAAAGTCATGAAATTTGAGTCTTATTTGAGCCCAGAATATAAGAAATAGCAGAGTCATAAAGATGTAGAGATGTCTACACGTGATTTCTATACCTGTGCTGAGATATTTATAACTTGATATCTAACTCCTAAAGTTTCGAGTTTTCCCCGTATCTCAGCACCCATATAGTTGTACTTCACAGTGCATCTTGCTATGGAAAAAGAATATTAAGCAGATAAAAGCTAAGACATAATAAATGCTATTTCAGCACAATTTCTTCTTCGAAATCACCAAGTGAAGTTGGTTTTACGCGTGAGATTTCTCCTAGTTCTTCTCACTGGGAGGACATTCCGTTTAATGACAATGATTTATCTCACGTTGGCCACAGTTCGGTGCCACTGGGAAGGTTCGTGTTCGCTTTTTTAACCGACTAACTTGACAATTTATGCACTCTCTGCAATTGTCAGAAGTTCGAGCCGAAGAAGAAACGAAAAAACTCTTACCTGTCTAGTGAGATTTTCCTTCACTTCTTCTCGCCTTGTTTGAACTACTTGCGCGAAACTTATCTTATCAATCAAAGAGAAAATCATCATTTTACGTACAAATCTGCTATTGTCAGACGTTTTCCAGCATGTAAATTCGAGTTTATTCCTAGGTTTTTTATTTTTAAATGAAAAGTAGCCTACCTGGTTCGAGAGCTCTACGAACACGTCTATGGGATCGAACGTCCGGAAACAGCGATATGTCGTCCTTACTATCATAAAACTGAAAAATAGTGTGCAAAAAACATAAAAAAGATAAAGCTTTCAGCGTTGATCAACCACTGAGAGATGCACTATGCATTCGACTCAATTAGGCATCATAGGAGGGAATTGAATGCATATCTGGTCTTTACAATGACTTGCGGTGGCCTACCGATGTATCGAGCCAGTGCTGCTATCATCCCAGACAAGTCTGGTACCAATTTGCTAACCCCGTAGGGATGGAAGGTTTGGTGGGCCAAGGGCGCGGGAATCGATTCCACGTGTGTGCCTCGCGCGTCCAACCACTGCGCCACACGGGCCCTTATGTAGAACATAAGTTTCCCTATGTTTATGTAGACATATATACGTATATGTATATATGGGTTCTCTTATCTTATATGCCTCCTTATTTTTATGTAAACATATATATGTATATATATAGGGCGCGTGTGGAGCAGTGATCGGAGGCGCCTTGCAACACACACGAGGAATTGAACCCCGCTTCCATGGTCCACCAAGCCTTCCATCTCTCCGGGGTTGACAAATTGGTATGAGACTTGTCTGGAAGGAGAGCAGCACTGGCTCGATACATCGGTAAGCACCGCGAGTCATGGTAAAGGCCAGATATGCATTCAGTCACCTCCAAACGATGCTTAATGAAGTCGAATAGATGGCGCATCCCTCAGGGATTGATCAACGCCGAGAGCTTTACCCTTTTTATCTTTTTATTGTTCACGACATATTATAATACATCAGACTTATAAGCTACCTTAGACTTATATGAACAACTTAGTAAAAGCAGTTCATGAGAATTAAATAATTGTTAATGCCGGAGTTTATAGAAATTCGGTCGTTTAAATGAATCTATCGGACTGTTTACCACTTATATTACCTGTTACCTGAAAATCTACTGATTCCAGCGGTCATGAGTAGTCTCAATTCGTCACCGTCGCAATAAGTTGCTGATGATTTCTCACTCGAAGTGCAAAGAGCGTCACATCTTTACTATTACCTCATTTATTTCTACTTGTTGTGATGAATCACACGTAATTCTTGCCGATGCTGTGAAACGGGCAACCATTGTATATCGCAGTTTCGGCACTCTCTATCCAAAAAGAGGCGATAAGCCATTAGAGAGGTTCGTTATGCTATATCGCTCATGGACATCCTTCAGAAAACAATGACGTTCGCGACGATAAGGCTAGCCAGTTAGCGAATAGTATGTTAATTCGGATTAAATGTAGTATTGTACTTGCCGTAAGCCCCTCATGGATACGGGACTTTGTGATTCTACCATACTTCATCAACATATATCTTTTTTTATCTACTTTGACATATTCACCATGCGCGTGATACCGTCCTTGCGTATACTTTGAAATTATCTTGTCCTTTATTTCGACTGAAAGCCTTGAAGGAAGTCAGTGGGAAGTACGTGGGGTCGCCTCCAATTGTCTCGCTCCCAAGAAGCTTAGACAGATATCCGTAACTGTACCTGCGCAAATGTGAAAGCTTGGAATATGTATCTAGAAGGACTACAGTGGCAACAATACAAGTGATTACGCATGCGTATGAACATCCGAGTACACCAACGAGAACTGGTGATGCAGACTGAAAGTACGATGATACAGCAACGGAATTGTTGCTTGGGACACACAACAGCGAACAAATTTGCGATGTTGGTATCTTTGAAACTGAAAAGATTTCAACCGATGCCGGTTTTGTTAGTCATCATCCTGTGCGCTCCATCATTAAGCTGTGATAAAGGTGAGATTTCTGTGATAAGGAAGAGATTTAAGTATTTGGCGGGATTTAAGTATTGCATAAGCCTTTGAGGAAGTTTTTCACAGAAATCGTGCCTCTTACCGGACCAATTTATGAGAAATACTACCATTGGAAAACATTGAAACCCAGGCTATTTTTGCTTACAACTGTTCACAAGGCTTTTTCTGCGGTTCACAATGGCTTCATAGCCAGCTAAAGTTTCAACATTACGAATGATATTGTCAAAGGCGTTGAGGAGTTCGTCAAGGCACGTCGTAAAAATCATTCAGTGTCACTCTGGACAACGTCTTGCGCACGCTGAAATAGCACATCGTCGCACTGAACGCCAATATTCGGCGGCCACATCACCTTCGCTATACCGACGAAATCGGTTTTAGATTTAACCTACGAAAATATAGATTACGAAGAGCCGTTTCATTTTCGAAATCTCATTCCGTTTCGGCGTTAAGAATGTCTCTGAATATTTAAACTATGTGCATAGCTAATAGTGGCAGATGATGGAATTACCCGACTTATTGTCATTTGTATTATTGTACTTATATAAGTAATATTGAGGCCCGTGTGGCGCAATGGTTAGAGGCGTCCTGTAAAACACGTGGAATCGATGCCATTCTTCAAGCTCACCAAGCCTTCTATACTTCCGCGGTCAGCGAATCTGTACCAGCCTTGTCTGGGAGCATAGCAGAATGACTCGATATATCGGTAGGCTACCGAGAGTCATTGTCAAGGCCAGATATGCATTCATTCACTGCTAACGGTCCTTAACGAAGTCGAACGCAAGGCGCATTCATCAGGGATTGATCAACGCCGAGAGCTTTATCCTTATCCTTTTAAGTGATATTATCACAGAAATTTTTTATTATTAAAATGGCGTTATCTTAATATTTTCATGGCTAGTATTTTACATAAATAATATCTATTACTTTATATAGAAAATTTAAGAAATAAATAACGTTACTATTTTGCATAACATATTTACTGTTTACGGATTTGGCATGTTACATCGTCCTCGGATCGCTAAATAAAAAAGGTGTAGAAAGATAAGCTTTTGCAATAGTAGGCAAAGCACAGTTCCCCATTCCCAAGTTTACGGTAACGCCTGAAATGATGAAATATATGCTTGGAAAAATACTGGAAACCGTCAGTAATCTTTTGTATTAAGGTTCTGCTCCATTGGTAATTCAGAAATTTCTAGAGTAGCGGCACCAGTGCAGCCGAAGCAGGATTCCGTTTACCAGCTGACACCACCGCCATTCTCAGCAGTACTTCGATCACAGCAGGTTGCCTATGGTGCTTCTGCATGCCCATGTGCCGCTCCTCCAGCACTTCCTTGTTGTGCTCCAGTGCAGCCATGTTGCTTACGTAGGCCATTTTTTTCTTGTAGAAAATTTAATACATTATTCAAATCGAAGCAGAAATCGATTGATTTTCATGGCTCACATTAAATCTGTCATTGATTCCTCCGAAAATAATGGCATTGTTCAGTGAAAAAATAGATGTGATGACGAATTTAAGTTATTACCATTACAAACGTTCGCTAGAAAAGAATAGAAATTGTGGTAGAGACAAAAAACAGGATTTTTTGTTAGATTATTGAGCTAACACCGAGTTGGTACAAGGCGATTCATTCGGCTATCCTTTCGACGTATTCGCACCTTACAGAGTCATCGGACAATCGTGTTGGATCAATACTTCGAAAAAGGCGAAGACGTCAAGACGTTAGCCTCTTTACACCAATCTCGTGTAAGCTCAGGAATCTATAAAGAATATTTGTTATTCTTGTGAGGGTTTAACGAAAGTCGGTTTTTAAGACGAAAAGCGAAGCTAGGAGCAATGATAAATGCTAAGGAATTTACTGACTACTATAGAGTAATATTTTAAAGGATTACAGCGAAAGAATAGTGAAGGCTATAGAAATGCATTGAGGGACTGCATTGAACCCTAAACGAATTCCAAATTAGCCAGGAAACGGCCATTACATTTTCCGATCAACTCCATCGCATTCCTTTCCTTTTCGAGACAAATGTGTAATTCACAGAATGTGCAAAATACCCACAGTGAATGCAATTATTCAAGCATCTAACTTATATCGGCTTGCTTATGAAGCTAGTTATAGTTTTGATCACGTCACCCATCAAATATCGAATTTCCAACAAGATAATGTAGAATGAACATGTTGAAAATCGTCGATAAGTAAACTTCGAGCAGCTCATTGATCGATGAGATTGGTTTTTCTACCAACAAAATCGCTCCGGAATGAAGGAATTCCGCTGAACACCCATACTGCAGCTGCGTTACCGTGTTGTCCTCCGCCACCTCCAGTTCCATGCTGTCCTCGACTGCCTGTGTGCTGCCAACCACCTCCTCCATGTTGCCCACCACCACCAGTTTGTTGTCCAGTGAGTCTTGATTCAGTTTATTTTAGTTGTTTAGATACTATAAAGTTTAAAAGTGTTTGGCCATAGGAGATGTGTCATGCATTCCACTTTGTCAAGCATAGTAGAGGTTCACCTCCAAACGGTTCACCGCCTCATCGTGGCTAGGAGGTGTTCTTGGCTATCGGGCTTCGACATAGAGCGGTGGATTCATTCACCCAGCAAGGTCTTCCAAGATAAAAAGGAGTCCGGCGTTTCCATCATGAAGTCCAGCTAAGAAAAACCAATACCAGAATCCACCACCATGCTGGTATCAAACTAGTCGCATGGCGGCAGATCTTTCTGATCCACAAGGGCGGCGACTCGCTGTGGTGATGACGACCTGGAGCAGGCTTTGTCTAGGATGACCTCTGGGCTTCAGCGAACAACAATAACTAAAGCGGCAGCACTGCGAAACAATGGAAATTATCCTAGGGCCCGAGACCCACACTAGTGAAGACGGGTCGTCCAAATATCAAATCGAGTAAGTAAGTAAAGGTATACACAATGTCTTAAGTGAGTTGTCGATAGACGAAGTTAGTGTTTTTTTTCTACTTTACCGGGCAAGAGTGGTACTATCCTATGAAGCCTAGGCCTGGTTTCTCTGCAGCGCAAGATCGAACCCATGTGTATGTCGCAGTACATTTTTATCTCGCTCAGGTAATTGAGTCACATTACTCCATAATTCACATGGGGCCTAGCACAATTACCGCTAGAATGAGATTTTTTCGCCTATAGCAGGGTATTTTTCACAAGATGTGATAGCTGTGACAACTTTCTATATCGAAATAACACCTCGCCGTCGGTCATAGAGGATCAGAGAATGATTTCCCACTGCTTCGTAAGGCTTCTGCTAGACTTATTTCACCGGTTTTCTGAGCTGTTCTCCAGCAATACAAACATTGCTGTTAACCACAATGTTACTGAGATATTTACAAAACTCTGGACCCCAGGTGTCTGCGGTGGGAAACGAACGTGCTATTGTCCTTTCCGGGGATTAACGCGTACACCACCACACCATGCGGGTCTTTCGTTTCGCCTGTCTCTCAGCTAGTTCTATCGATCAGCGCCAACGTGGTGGTGAACGCGTTACTCCCCAGAAAGGACAATACCACGCTCGTTCCCCACCGCAGACACCTGGGGTGCAGAGTATTGCAAATATCTCAGCAATATTGTGGTTGTATTTCGCTTAGCACCCTGCCGTAAAAATTATACTAGGCAGAAAATAAAAACTAAAACGTTGCTGTTAACTTTTTATAAAAATACTATGCAACGTTTTACTCTTCACTCCATCATCAACACTAGGTCATGGCGATGCCTCCGTGTTTCCGAGCTTGTCCTATATGCCCATGTCGACGAAGGCTTCACCAAGCATTTCGAATGAAGAGAAGTCCAGGTGCGCTGGATCCTTTGTCGTTCAAATTCTTCAGTGAGTAGTATCGCAACTTTTTGAAGGTCCTATGTTTACTAATAAGTTTTTATTTTAAAAAACTATTTCAAGCGTATGCAGCCAGTGGGCAATAATTGAAGTTGACTTGCAGAGCCTAAGTGGGAAAATAAAAAAGTCTATAAGAACCTTATAACAGAGTACTACTATGTGTTAACTTTTTTCCACCGAATTAAACCTATCTCAACGATATAAATGACTAATCATTTAGCGTTATGAGTTATTTGTCCTCTTCAAGAGATTAAGTGTTTGAAGTGAATTTCTGGCTGACTGTCTGCTCAATTGAACATTAAATGCACTCACAGATAATTCTATTTCGCTTGTGCTAATTCTTTTATTCGGGCCATCTGGTTCTCTAACTGCCATCCTTCAACAAAGACTAACGGATTTCCATTGACAAAGGTTTGAAATTTAGTCTTTTTCTAGGACGTAAAAAATTTAGGTTTCTGGAGCCTACAAAACTTCGGAACGAATTTTCGTTAGAGCCTTGATTCTCAGTTTTTTTCAGCAGGTAGTGCCTTCTAACTCAAAATAGTGATACGGGAATGAAAAGAGCTTTTCTCAGTATCCTGGTATGACAAAGTTTTGCACACAGCTTTCATGGCACTGATTGTCCATTGAGCGGTAGGGTAGTAAAATAGGATCAATCCATTTTGATCGATGAAAAGTTTTCGCAAGCGTTGCCGTTCGTGTTGTAAGTCATGGATTTCTTAGCAACAGTCTTGGTAAAGGAAAAAGCATTTGGCGTTTATCAATCTGTAAGAGATGCACCATATATTTGACTTCATCCACCATCGTTAGAGGTGAATGAATGCATATTTGCATAAGGTTATAGTGCATATCTGGCCTTTATGATGACGCATAGCGGTACATTAAATTAGTGCTTCTGATTTTTATTTCCATGGTTAATTCTGTTACCAGCGGCCCCACAGAGTTGCAAGGCATGGTGAACCAGAGGTAATAAATCCGGTCAGCGGTCTACCCAGTTTCTGTGGTACGGCACCTCTAGCCATAGCCGTGAATGGGTTTTTTGCCGAAAACATAGTGCTTTCGTCGTTTCCATACTATATGTTTCTATATATCGTGTCCAATGAAATCGTCAGCACTTTTTCCAGATGCAAATTACACTTCGAAATATTCTTCAGTACCTCATCTTTGTACAACCTCCCGCAAAACGTCATCCATTCTCGCGCAGAACATAGTTTCTTCTCAGATTTCGATGACATCCTTCATTATTTGTAAATGGTCACCCTCATTGAGTTTTGCGACCTTCCAGATTCAATGAGGTGTTCCGAAACTATTGTTAACCTACGAAAATTTCTTCCGTAAGCTTTCGAGCAGTTGCCTAAAGATCTGATCCAGTGAATATCTCAAAATAGTCATCACTGATTGCGAGAAATCACTTCTAAACCTTATTATCTTCAAAGCTTTTGTTATCATAGTCAGGCTGTAGAAACCAATCCCGCTTTGTGAAATCATTGACGTTTCTATGGCTAAATACAATACTGAGGACGAAAACCCATTACGCTAACAAACACTGTTAACATAATGGGTTTTCGTCTCTTTACGTACGGGTTTAATTCTGTGTCGAAATTGCTCAAATTATCTTCTTTAATTTTTTTTCACAGGAGCATAATTCAGCACAAGTGAACACGAGAGCACAAAAATTACAAATCAATGCAATAATGTGAAAAGAAAGCTGTCTTTTAAGATGACTCATCAGACTTCGTGAATGAAAGGAAAACATATAAAAAAACGTGAAATAACCATATTTCAAGAGTTGTTATTTCCTTCTTGAAGAAGCTATAGATTAAGCAGCAGTTGAGTGAAACAGGACTCCACATGAACTCAATTCTGTACCTGTGGTATCTCTGCTATGGCTGGCAGGAATATGTCCTTCTATGAGGAATAAGTCCTTCTATTTGAAATCGTCTTAGAAGCAGAGATTTTAGTTGTTTAATTTTGAATTCTTCTAGAGATGGTTCGAATTTGTTCAAAATGGTTGAAATTGTTTGGCGTTTTCGACATGTAGCTTAAACTAACAGTAAGTGTTCATGCAAGTGGGTTACTGTAGATGAACAACACTTCAGAAAGCCAAGTTTTCAAAAGAAACTATGTCGTCAATCTTAAAGATCCGCCAAGAGGTTTTTTAACCATATTGCTTTTTTCGTCAGTCTAATTAAGTTTGTAGAATATTAATAGAAAGCTTTAGAAAGAGCAGTTAGTTTTTTAAATGACTAGCGACTTTCATTTGATTTCAGGGTAGGGAAGTAGGCTACATTTAGTAGATAAGGTGAGTGTCGTCACCTCAGTGCTATTGCATGGGATGTTCATCACTACTCCTCAAAAAACAGTTAATGAACTAAAAAAAGACGATTCATTAACAAGTGCAACTTCTGTTTTTATCCATTTTTTGTCGCTCAGTACTTCTATCTCTTGAAACTAGTCTGAATACTTTTGGCAAAAATGATAAAGTGAAATAACAACAGCTTTCTACCTCAGACAGGAATGCGTATTTTCCGGCTCTTGAGATGACCCAAAACTAAACTGACGCCCGCTAAAACAAAAAATTGTAAAAAGTTTTCAAAGTTGCCGTATAAATTCAATTATAGGCTTTATGGGCAATGGCAAGTGCACCAAATGCGCCGTTGGTGGTCAACCGAAGCGAGCACGGATAAAACGACAATCGAACTGCAAGGCCTGCTCGAACAACCTTTTCGCTTCGCTGTTCATCCACGTGTGTTCTTTTACTGGTGTCGTTAAATTTTAATTTCTATATTAAGGAAAGAAAAGAGGCGCGTGTCGGCGCAGTGGTTGGAGGCGCCACTGCGACACGCACGTGGATTCGACCCCTGCGCCCATGGCCCATCAAGCGTTCCATCCCTCCGGGGTCGGCAAATTGATACCAGACTTATCTGGGAGGATAGCAGCACTGGTTCGATACATCAGGTAGACCACCGTGAGTCATTGTAAAGGCCAAATATGCACTGAATCACCTCCAACGATACTTAATGAGGTCGAATGCATGATTCATCCCTCAGAGATTGATCAACGTCAGGAGCTTTATCCTTTTTATGAGCTTAATATTAAGGAAAGAAAGGATGTACGTAAAAATAGCGCAGTGGTTAAAGGTGCCTTACAATGCACCCGTAGTCTCTAGTTCGACGCAGCGAAAGGGACAAATGCAACTTAATCTTGTCGTGGTCGAAAATAGTACCACACTGTCCAAAAGAGAAGAAATTCTCTAAACATGCCATATCTGTGTATTCCAGCATGTCAATCGTTCGCTCTGACGATACTTAATGGAGTCCAGTGCATGAGATATCCAAAAAGAATCCATTGACGCAAACTCTTCTATGCTTTGCACTTTAAATTACTAAAACAAACAGCTTTTTCATGATTGTTCCAATATCACTGGCCTCTATTCGTTAACGCCATGACTCTACCGATGGGTTCCTTTCTACACGAATGTTCTATGTCAAGTTCGAAGGCTTTTCAAAACCTGTTTGCACCTATTAAGCTAAGCGGAAAGGTTTCCCACTTTCAATAACTAATCATAATTGATTAGCGTCTCCTTCACCAATCAGAATTTGGATTCCAGTGAATTGTTCTTGTTACCAGTTAATACCTTTATTTGATCTATAGAGCATTTGAGTAGATTTTTCGCTGACACAGATGCTCTTTTCAGTCTTCTTCGGCGTGTAGCGCTTGTGGACGAAGTGACAAGCGAACGGCGCGTGTGAAAAGGATGGTGAGTGCGTCGTGCTTTCTTAAATACCTCGTGATAAAATATATATAAGAAATGATAGGTGGAAAGGTGACTAATAGAAGAAAGCCTTCGCATGTTTCTATGAGCCTGGCTTATTGGGAGATTTCTGTGAATCCAAATGAAACTTTTACTGGAGTCTTTGTAAACAAGCTTTTTGTTACACACTGAATGAGCTAGCTGCGTTTTAGGGATGTCAGCCGTGCAGCATGCGAATGAAGAGAGAAGTCGTCTATGAGGATCATCGCAGAGTGAAACGATTTGTAAGAAATTTCAGTCATGAGCATGGACAAACAGACTATAATTTTTCTATTTTCAGGGATGTATGCCATGTCTTGGGAGAAAAAAACGAAGTCCTGTGAGTTAGCCAGAACAACTAAGAAGAATGTGCATAACAACCATCCCTTAAGCTTCCTTAAAACGATAGTTTTCAGGAAAATTGCAGGCAATGCTCAAATCTTGGCGAAGTTTTGCAAAGATTTAAAAGATCCTTTGTAAGCTTGTCTTTAAAATTGTTTTATTCACAGCGATGAAGTGGAGTGAACGATAATTTCTTTCAGTTATGTTCTCCTTGTGGAAGAAAGAAGCGTGAGACCAAAGCTAACGTGGGTGTAGAATGTTGTGTTCTGCTCAGTCTTGAAAGTACTGCTCAGTTTGAAAATGCTTTATGACTTAAGGACAAATCAAGATATTCTTGTTCCTGTTTTCAAAAACCTTCCCAGGGCTTGTATACGAGGAAAAAAAGAGAGGTATGCCAATATTTCATGCGCTCCTTGTTTACTGTGGCGTGAAAAAATAAGAAGAATCGAAATCTTAAAGGAAAAAGAAAGCACTAGAGTACTGCATTGCTAAGACTATGCCGCTACTAAAATTAAGTTATCCATGACCTGAAAATAAACGCATTATTCGTGTTATGATTCTGCTACGAAGCGATGACAAGCAAGTTCTGTGGCACTTTTTACTCGCGTCCATTACAGTGTAGCATTGTGCACTGCTTTACAGGAAGACGAGGTTTCTATGAAAAAAATATCCAATCAAATCCGTCATAGGGATAGGGCAATGGATAGAGCGTCCAACGTTGATCAATCCCGTAGGAATACATAGTGCATTTGCCTCTATTCATAGCATCGTAAAAGTGATCATGTGCGAGTTGGCATATATGATGGCTTTCGTGGGCCTGGCAATGCATGCAGACAATTTTTTTTATCCTCCCAGGCTAATGTGGCTTTAAATTTTTGAGCCAGCAAAGATGGAAGGGATGGTGAGCCCGGTAAAGGTTGAACCAGCGAAAAATCCAGTTTATACTGTAGGGCACCCGTAACCACTGCTCTAAACGCGATCCTTATCTCTTTAAATCCATGTTACGAGAGAAATTTCGGATGTGACATCGGCTTTGATAATGATTTTCACCTAAAATACTTTTCATTCTACCAATATTTTCTGACTTCTGGTGTGTGTAGTCCAAAAAAGTGGTGCTCTTTCTTTTTCTCAGTTATTTCGATTATTTCTCGTTTTCGTTGTCTTTTCCTAGAAGTTGCAGTAAAAAGGATAAAGAATAAAGCTCTCGGCATTGGTCAGACCATAAGAGATGCGCCATGCATTCGATTTCATTAAGCATCTTTAGAGGCGACTGAATGCATATCTGGCCTTAACAATAACTCGCGGTGGCCTACCGACGTATTGAGCCAGTGCTGCTGTGCTCCCAGATGAGTCTGGTACTAATTTGCCGACTCCAGAGGGATGCAACGCTTGATGGGCCATGGGTGCGGGGATCGATTCCACGTGTGTATCGCCGGGCGCCTCCAATCGCTGTACCACACGCGCCCTTGAACTTTGAGTATACTCTTGTCATTTTCTGTCTTCTTCCCACCTATTTTATGATTTCACTCTTTTCCTTGCGCCTGCTTATCTAGGGGCCAAAAAATTGTGGTCTGTTGACGAAGCAGCTTTAAAATCTGAAAATTTCAACGATGCTATTGTGGCGACGAATGATACTTCAATTTTAGGTAGACAATGAATTCGATACTACGGAAACGTGCGACAAAACATGCTGTGATTATAGCAGGTTTCTTACAGATTGGTTTATTTTCAGAACATTGTATATTTTATGGGAAACAAAAGGCCGTTATAGTGCATAGGTAGATAAGTAGCTGTTCAATTCATCTGCACCATCGTCTCTCTATGCAGAGCAGTGGATGAGTTGTTCATCGCCACGCGGCCAATAACTGTGAAACGTCGCAGATTGAAAGTTAGCTTCAGTTAGTCTTCACTTACAGACATGCAAAGTGATTTGCCTTATAGTTTATTTTTAATTCCTTAACTTATCTAACTACCTTAGTAGGCGCAAAAATGCATTATGTAAGTGAAAAAAGTCATGAGTACGCTAGTTAGCTACATTATCCTCAAGAAGAAGTCTCAGAGAAAAGCCTTCTTGATGTCCTTGTTTTTCCATGGGAGTCATTGTGTTGTGCTTGAGAAAACTACCAAATGAATTTTTAATTTGTTCAGGTGTTCGCGTACCAGTGCTAGAAAGTTCTATGCTTCCGCTAACTCTCGAAGTTTGATTTGAAGACGTTGACGAGTCTTCCTAATAATTCGAGTAGCTTTTTGTTTAGGATACCTAATCCTCAATGGCTCCTATGTTGCAATTTCATCTCTCAGGCTAACCTGTAAAATCTCACTTCAATCAAATGTGTTTTAAGTTACCTTCAAGAGTTTCATGTCTTCAATTCCTACGACTTACCCAGAAATTTTTGCACTACAGTGCTATGGTGATTCTATTCTCTTAAATCAGAAGTATATGTTATACTAAAAAACTGTAATAGAATGTGCAAAATCTTTTATCATTTACTGTTTGGTAGCTCTCAGAAATAGTCTGATGGCAAAAGTCATCGTCATTCTCTCAGCAATTTTTTCACGATTTATTCTCGATATCGATGTGATAAGATATGATGCTTGGTGAACTTTAATAAAATTTTGTTTTTATATAATTGCGAACCGATTTTCATTTAACTTCAGTATAAATGATCAATGTACCTTCATTGATAAGCTAACACGAGGTTGGTGACAGATATTTACTCGGATAACGTTTTGGCGTCTTCCTATTTATCGGAGCCGACGATTCGAGTCAGTGGTCCACAGTTGTTCTCGATGTGGCGTATTCACCGTCGTACCTAGTCGGATCTTGGTTAGTGAAGCTCGAATGAAGCAATCTCACCCGGCCGGTCTTTCATATAAGATGGATGTTACTGATATGACTAGTCGTTGATAATAATTTGTTTTTCGACGGCTAATCCATCCTGAAGCAGTCGGTATTAGATAACCTTGCGAAAGGTTATAAAAGATAGGTTATAAAAGATAACCTAGCGAAGTAATATAATTGTAAACCAATTTTCATCTAAGCTTTTTATAATTGATCATTCTAACTGGTTTCATTGATAAGCTGACACGAGATTGGTGTCAGATATTTATCCGGCTGCTTCGACGTTTCGTCTACTTTGTGTTTAAATCAGTTGACAAGGATCACATTCATTGCCCAATCTATGTCGAGCGTTGTCCTTCGAGCGGAGTGCAGCATGAGAGAAGACCATGTCCACTCAATGAGATGGACGACAACTGTTCTAAGAATACAACCGACACTTCTAAAGTTCGCTTGTGGCACTCGTGGTCCCATTAATCATCGCGTAACTCGAGTGCGCTTCAATAAACTTTATTTTTTCCCACCGTATACCAGAGTTACTCGAGAGGCACGACGAACATAGCATTCTCCAGTGCTTCTTTCTTCCATTGTTTAATTTTCTGGCGACAAAGTAGTAACAGATATAATGTCGGAAATTGTCTGATGGGAGGAATATTTGGCCCGGTGCGGTGTCGAAACAGCGACTTCACGTTTCTAACTTAGCCGGCATGTCCACCACTGTACTTCTCAAACCCTAACTGCCGACGTGTCATAATCAGGTTTTTATTTATTGTTGCTTAAGTGAGTGAGGATTTACTCGCATTTGGCAATTTTTGGTATATTCAATTTACTGCTCTTCAAAAATTTACGCTGGATGAAGGAAATAAAACCAGGACTCCAAAGTTAATGGAACGCTTACCTTGTTTGGCGAAATAAGACGCCTGCAATAGACCTGCCTCATTGTTAGCGTTGCACTCTATCTCATGTTATTTGCGAAACGGTGGGTTATTGCTTTCCTGTTGCTCCCAGCACTGCTGCCAATGTAGTTGAATAGGAGTCAGTGCGAATTTTGGCTGAGAGAAAGTTTCTACTCAGAGGACGAAGACGACGATGGCACGATTTCTCTTCATTGGCAAAGCAGTTGGGCACAGAACATTGACGATGATGTTTGTGTTGTCGCTGCTGAGTCGACGCCTACTTTTATGTCGGATAAGAACAAGAACAATTCGGCGATTGTAGAAATACTAAACATGATGAAGATTGATGGGTTCGACAGCAGTGATAGTTTTTCCATAAGCAGAAGACTTGAGGCTTTTAAGACACGACGGAGT